TGTCTCCGATATAGGTTAAGGACAATACATTAGTGCAAAAGGTGTTCCTATTAAAAGCTTTTTTTCTCTCTCTCTTTACAGTGATTAATGACAACTTATTGCTGATTGTCAATTACATGTATTTTTTTTTATTTACTGCTATATTATATGCAACTCATAATTTAACATCATAGAGAACCGATGTTTAAATAACTACGGATATTTTAACAATGTACTATCTATTTCCATCGAGGTTTTCAAAATAAACTGATTTCTTTTGCATAAACAATCAAGGTTTTCCGACTAAGCATGCTAAATTGCTACTGGACGTCAAGAAAGTCATCAATCAACTAAACATGCTATTTTTGTACGAATTTATTTTTCCCTTTACATTATTAAATCGTGTCTTCTTTGCACTGTTACACTAAACTATACCTTAAATGTATATGTGCATGAGTAAAAAGATAGGCGGGTATACGTCAATAAGACAGAAACCCAAATATAATCAAAAGACATCTAGAGCTTCATTTATAGTACACAGATATCTACACAATATGGCAAACTCTATATCGTCCCGGAGATACGTTTCAAAGATATGAGTGAATTAAAGAAAATTAAACCTCCAAATAACCAGAAATAAATTGAGATAACACATGCAACACTGACTATAAATGAAGAGGTAATGAATGTTAGCTTATACGCGGGTTTTTGAAAATCTCAATTCTCCCTCTTTATAATTTCGACCATGCAGTAGAATAACAACACACACATAAAATACAAGTTTAACCCCGACACAGACCGTGTCAGGCCCAAGTCAGGAGGTGACTGTCGTTGGCTGCTATCTGTCGTATATGTTTTTCGTGTTTTTCTTCATAAATCAGATCGTTGGTTTACGTTTGAACTGTTTCACATTTTGTCATGTCGGGGCCTTTTATAGCTCACTATACGGTATGAGTTTTACTCATTGTTGAAGGCCGTACGGTGACCATTTATTTAGTTGCTTAAATCCGATTCATTTGGACTCTGTTGAATTGTTGTATTATTGGCAATTATATCAAAAATTATTTTACATGAAAAAGCTTAATATATAGTATGGGTTTTGCTTATTGTTGGGCCGATGATTTAGTCTTCATTACTGTGTGAAATCTATTGAGGTATGGAGCGGTCGAATCCATGATTTCATATTCAATCGATAAAGAGTTTAATCTGAAGTTCTGAACTTGCTCTGGGTACCATCATGATATCACGTAAAAATAAAACACTAAAGGAAAAGGAAATGTATACAAGTACTTCGTATAATGGTCTCTCTAAATGATATTTATATAATAAATATTGAAAATATTTATTGTTCAAACTAAATGCAAAAATACATAGATCGTTTTGGGTTAGCGGATATATGCATTTGCATCATTGTATTAAAGTTAAACTCTTTTTCGTATTTCCTATTTGTTTCGACTAATTAACGTTGGCACCAATATTTGAATGTTTATCAGCAATGTGTATTAAACTATCTATGTCTGTATACTGAAAAATTCTATCATGTTTAACACTTTTAAGTAATACAGCGACCGATATTAGAGAGTAAGAAAGCATAATATAATAAATTCTGAAATAGAACATAAAATAGAGAAAGAAAATGGGGAATGTGTCAAAGAGACAACAACCCGACCAAAGAGTAAAAAAACAACCGAAGGCCACCAATGGGTCTTCAACACGGTGAGAAAATCCCGCACCCGGAGACGGACTTTAGCTGGCCCCTAAACAAAAATGTGTACTAGTTCAGTGAAAATGGGTGTCATACTAAACCCCTAAACATATATAAATGAACTAAACTTAAAAAAAACATACAAGACTAACAAAGGCCAGAGGCTTGGGACAGGCGCAAAATTGCGGCGGGGTTAAACATGATTAGTGATATCTCAACTCTCCCCCTATACCTCTAGCCAATGTAGATTAAAAAAACACACAACAATACGCACAGTAAAACCCAGTTTGAAAGAAGTCCGAGTCCGATGTCAGAATAGGTAACAAAAGAAACTAAGCAAAATGACAATGATACATAAATTAACAAAGGACTACTAGTAGTTATATACTGACATACCAGCTCCAGACCTCAATTAAACTGATTGAAAGACTATGTCTTCATCATATGAAAAGAAGTCGTCATTATTGAGAGCCAATATATCATCCAACTATCTAAAAGTGTTTTTAAATTTTTGTATCAGATACTGTATGATGGGTCTTTGCTGATTTTAGTCATAAATTGTAACTCATACAGAAACAAGTCCGCAATAAGTGGTGCACAGTTAGTCCCCATTGGAATTCCGATAACTTGACGATATACGGAATCTCCATAGCGAACAAAAAATGTTATCTATCAAAAATTCAAGGGCAGTTATAGTATCAAAGCAGACCAATTGACATAGTTCTTTTGTTTGTTGCTACTAAAAAATGACCTAAAAGAGTTTGAACATATATATTCGCATTCTGACTTTTTAAATGCCATTTACTTAGGTGTATGAATTTTTCTTCATAAGATTATGAGGCAAAGTGGTATATATGGTAGAAAAATCAAAACTTTGAACAGATTGGAAATCATCAATATAAGCATGCAATTTATCAAGTACTTCCAACGAATTTTTGACACTCCAAAAGTAAGTAATTCCACTATTTTCAAAGGCCTTATTCGAACAATTTATTACCAGGTTTTTCATTGTACCAAGTGTACTAGTAAGTAGAATAGACAGTTTAGTAGTGGAACAATGGCTTGAAGACGAAATAAATCTATATATGTAAGGTGTTTTGTGCAGCTTCGGAAGCCAGTACATAGTTGGAACTTTCATTGTATTTGGTTCTGCTTGTAAAGAGGTAGCTAAAAGTTTATGTTTGTAACAGATGTCATTTTCCAAAAATGGAGTCAGTTGAAATGTTGGTGAATTCGTGATTTCCTTTTGCAGGACCTCAATGTAAAATTTACGTCAAACAATAATGATATTATTAGCAGCCTTATCAGCCGGGACAAAAACAAATTCCTTGGCGAGTTCTTTTAGCTTATGTTTGATACGAGAAATAGGGCTATTATGGTTGTTTTTAGGAGTAAAATGTTCTTAAAATGGTGTATACGTATATCAACTGTGTTCATTACTGAATTAACAAAAGTATCTAACGTTTACTTTGAACTTGCTGTGAGTATTCTATGAACAAAAGTTATATAATTACTGTAATTAGTTTACAAGTATCTGTACTTTTGTTTGTTTCATGTATTAATGATGGTATTAATTAGATTGGAAATCTTTTCTGGATGACGTGTATTGGGTGTTTGACGTGTTTGATCCTCTACAGATTGAGATAATAGACGGTGGATTACTTAATACCGACACCTATTTCACGTGTCTGTTTAAAGTCTTGCACTGGTTGTTCCTGTCTCGCGGTCTCGTTTTATCATTTTACTTTTTCGTATTCATTGGTATCTTTGCTTAGTAGGATGTCAATTGGTATAAATATCAAAATGAATACTATGTATGATGACCTATATCATATGCAAGTTTAAACTGTTTTGTTGGGTTGCTTTCTCATTGACCTTTTCACCACGTGTCTGTTGCTTTATATCTATAAGTGCATGCATTTAAGTCTAAAATATGTGCCACGTAGGAAATACCCGACTTGGGTTACGGTAACATTGGTGAGACGCATAAAAAACTATGATAATAAACATCTTGTTAATGGTATTACTCTAGAGGGAAGCACAACTATACATAAGTATGATGATGAAGATCTAAATATAGAAAACAAAACACAAAAACCTTGGTTTTTGGGTCTGCTTTCTAATCTACAGTATTAACTGATGTCTCCCCGGTTTTTGGTAGGGTCTCCAGGGGGTGTCAATCATTTTGCGACAGTATGAGCATCTGAGACACCCAGTACCTCACCCTTATCATATTTTTTAATATAAAAAAATGCATATCCTATCACATATTGTTTAGCAAGAAATCTTTCAATAGCTATATTACGCTATTTCATGGAATGTAAATAGATTTGACGATGCCTTTACGAAAGTGGTCTTAAACACACCTTTTAATACTAACAGATGATTTGAATAGCAGTTTCAGAGACGTAGACATAAAGGCTGTAAGGGATCTACCATTTGATTTTTATGGGGGGCTAGGATGAAATTTGAAAAAATAGGCAGGACAGGGGTTTTGAGTAAAAAAAAGGCAGGATGAGATTATTTGCAAAAAAAAAGGCAGGATGACAATTTATGTAAAAAAAGAAGTCAGGATAAACTAAAAAAAAAGCAGTACCGAACAGAGTGAAAAATAAAAAGGCAGGACCGAATAGACGGGGAAAATAAAAAGGCAGGACCGAATAGAGGGAAAAATAAATAGGCAGGACAAAATTTTTCATCCTAGACCCCCCCCCCCCCCACCCCCCACCCCCCCCCCCCCCCCCCACCCCCATAAAAATCAAATGGTAGCTCCCTAACTTTATCATATCTTTCATCTAAATTTTTGCCCTTACATTATATTATGAAGCCTGAAAAGTGACATATTTCAGACAATTTTATGCTAAAAAAATCATATAAATCGTGAGAAACTAATTTTTTCTGGGGATTATTTTTTAGGTGTATCCCACCGCTGGACCGTTCGTGTTGCTCAGTCTTTAGATTTCTGTGAATTGTTGTCTTTTCGTCGCTTTTGTTTTTGACCCAGTATGTTGTTCACAGGCACTTGTCTCTGAAAACAATCTTATATATAACTTCGTAAAAACTGAGATTATAGTAGTCTCAGGTAAAAAAAAAAAATCAGAGATAAGTGGTTTTGCTCAGACATATATGAAACTTTTCAGACACACTGTCAAAATGATTTGCCGATCAATCAACCTTGTTTGTTTTTCCCCACAATATAATATGGTGTTTTAACACGACATAAAATTCAATATATTTATTTTTTTTGCTTAAAATTGAAACTTTTTAGGTTTACTCGATACCGAAATACAAGGGAAACTACTTTTGATTTTCTTATTTTCTTTTAAAAGGAAAGAGTCCGAAACCTGTCTTATGCGGAATGCCTCGAGGATTTACTTAAAAACATACATAACAAAATTTTGACAGATGGTTACAAATTCAAAGAACCACATGCACATAATCTCCTTCTAAGATGCTTATCATGTATCCTGTTTGTAATCTTACTGAGGTTATCACTTAACTTGGACGGTAAATTTATCAATGTACCTATTCACGATAAAACATATCATTGCTACAGATCGGAAAAAATACATAATTATTATTGAATGATCGATTTTAAAGAGAACAGTGTTGACATTCATAAATGTTAATCATATGTTGTCAGTAATGAGACAATGGTAGTGCCACAGGATAAATTAGATTTTACAGTCTATTACACTTGATTTAATCAGAGTTTAGATTCAGATTACAAACACGATTTATTCTGGTAGAGTTTTTACCACAGATGTGATTTTCTTCTTGGGATTTAAACAGTCCACAGGTTTGTTAGTATATACATTTTAAATCACAATGTTCAAAATGATACAAGCATCTCTGGTGTTCTTGTTTTCATTGTGATATATTATTTCTCATGATATTCAAGCTTTAAAGACGAAAATGTCATAAAGGGTGTGAATTAGGTACATCTTATACATGTGATTATGTGATTATATTTATTCCTTTATCTTCCACTTCCAGCATTCCTTGCGTCAAAGGCACCTGTTTAAGTGCACTGTGTAGTATAGGTTCCTATTTATTTAATGACGTTTTACTCCTATCTTGACAAGGTTTGTTGATATGAGAGCTTTTAAAAGAAATTAATTTTCTACTGACTCTGAATTTTAATGAAATCATTGTTTTTTTTTTTTACCTGATATACGAATATACAGTATGCATTTGTATACATTTTTTACGTGGGTATCTATTGTATGTATTGATACTAGTGTCACAGCACAGCAGTCAGTATTTTTGTTTTTACAGGAAAATACTGAATTAAGATAGGACACATTCTTTATGTGCCTGTTCCCATTCAGGAGCCTGTAATATACTGTGGTTGTCATTGGTTTATGTCTGTCATACTAATTTTTTACGTATTTTTTTGGTTTTAAATTAGACTGTTACGTGTACAATGTAGTTTTTTTAGTTGTTTCACATTTTTCCTTTCGAGGTGTTTTATGGTTGAATATACAGTATGGGTTTTTCTCATTTTTATAGGTCATGCAGTGACCTATAATTGCTTTTATCCTCGTCATTTGAACTCTGGTGGATTGTTGTCTCATTGGACGTCATACATGGTACCACTTCTCCTTATTTATATATTTACAATGTACATTGTATAATGTTTAGTCTTTTTAGTTTTTAAGGTCAAAGGTAAAATTCTTTTTACTCCATACTGCAATGAAGGGGGAAAAATTGTCACCCATTTGGTATCATTGTTCAAATGAGTGTAAAGAATAGCAAATTATAGCATCAGTTTGAATGTCATTTTCACAAACTGAGTTTGACTGCAAATCTATGAGGGACTGGATGGGGGTCCTCCATTTCAGTTGGGTATTCACAAATTTTTTTTAGGGCATTTTTCGTTATTCTTTATTTGTTGTGCCCATTATTCTCTGTTCTTTATATTTCAGCACCCCATTATTATCTATTCTTTATTTTTTTTTTGGCCTATTTTTATCGATTCTTTATATTTTTTTGCCTTTATTCTGTACTTTTTGCCCTTCTATATTCTCTATTCTGAAAACCCCATCCAGACCCTCATTATGTCATGTTCTATGTACCAAATACATGTATACATGTAATAACAATATAATAATAATGACCCTTTATATATAAGGTCATGACCTAAGTATTTACTATGAGAGGTTGACAATGATACTGCTTTTGTAAATGTGATGATTCCAGTTCTTTTTGACAAAACTGACCATCAATTATTGACATTCTGAATTTGCACTCCACATCAACCAACCTGTTATTCATGATAACTGTTACATGCTTTACAACATAGAGAACTGACATTTCAACAAAACCCATTGGTTAAACATAAAATTTTATCTTTTAGTACTAATAACTTTGTTGAATGACAAAGATTCAGTTCTCCTGATTGGTACATTGTACATGTTGTAAAAATTCACATTGTGACTAAAGCATTTGAATTTTTATATGTTTGGCTTGCTATTGAAAAAAAAATCATAAATTTGATTAAAGGAAGACAGTGAATTTGTGAGATTGGATTTTGTTAGGTAGAGAATTTAAGAGGAAATATTTAAAGGGTTTTAGTTTCTAATTAAAATTATAAGGAAGATGAAAGGATAAGTACAATAAATCTTTGTATTACAGTTGTATTTATTCCTTATACAAGTTGTTTCAGATAAAGGTGAAGGTTTGGTACCATTAAAACGTTTAAACCCGCTGCAATTGTTTGCACCTGTCCTAAGTCTGGAATCTGATGTTCAGTAGTTGTCGTTTGTTGTTGTGGTTCATAAGTGTTTCTCGTTTCTCGTTTTTTAATAGATTAGACCGTTGGTTTTCCCATTTGAATGGTTTTACACTAGTAATTTTTTGGGGCCCTTTATAGCTTGCTGTGCGGTGTGAGCCAAGGCTCAGTGTTGAAGACCGTACTTTGACCTATAATGGTTTACTTTTATAAATTGTGACTTGGATGGAGAGTTGTCTCATTGGCACTCATACCACATCTTCTTATATCTAAGTAAGCTCTGTAAGTATTAAAATATATTGACACTATTTGATTTTATATGAATCATTTCATACAAATGGGTATATATTTATTAATGGAGAAAGGATCATTAGATAGATAAATATATGTTTTTGGTTATCATTTATTGTTGTGTTGTTATCTAGATGTCAGTTTTTTTGTTATCTTACATTGTTGTGTTGCCATCTAGATATCAGTTTTTGGTTATCTTTTATTATTGTGTTGTTATCTAGATACCAGTTTTTGGTTATCTTGTATTGTTGTGTTGCTGACTAGATATCAGTTTTTTGGTTATCTTGTATTGTTGTGTTGCTGACTAGATATAAGTTTTTTGGTTATCTTGTATTGTTGTGTTGCTGACTAGATATCCATTTTTTGGTTATCTTGTATTGTTGTGTTGCAGACTAGAAATCAGTTTTTTGGTTATCTTGTATTGTTGTGTTGCTGACTAGATCTAAGTTTTTATTTATCTTGTATTGTTGTGTTGTTGACTAGATGTACTACAGTAGATATTAGTTTTTGGATATCATGTTTTCTTGTGCTTTGTCTAGATATCAGTTTATTGTGTGTTGTTGTGTTTTGTCTAGATATCAGGTTATTGTGTGTTGTTGTGTTTTGTTGTGTTTTGTCTAGATATCAGGTATTTGTGTGTTGTTGTGTTTTGTCTAGATACAATGTATCAGGTTATTGTGTGTTGTTGTGTTTTGTCTAGATATCAGTTTTTGGTTATCATGTGTTGTGTTATCTTCTGTTGACATTCTATTTAGTCCATCTTAGAACAAAAAAGGAAATATAATTTTAAGCCCATTATTGTTGAGTTGCTGTCTTTGGGAAGTTTACCTGATATATAAGAAGATATAGCTTCTTATGTAAATCATTATGTATTTAACAATATAGACCTTGAACACTTTTTCAATACTAATTAAAAACTAACAAAACCTAGTAATTTCAGTGTTCATTCATAGATCTTTACCAAATAACTAAATTTGTGTAATTATAAACACTGTAACAAACTTTGGTTTGTTTGAAGAGTTTTGAGGGATAAGATAGATAACATTATGTCTTAAATAGTAATTGTGTCAGAAATTTAGTATTATATTACTGTTTATAACTTTTATAAACCTAAAAGCTTCCGTAGTAAATAGAGCCACAAATTTGTGTCTATTATCTACCCCGTCTTAAGGAATGTGACGTCTTTGTGAAAACAGGTAAATATTTACTTGCATCAATAAAGAGACAGATAAACTTTTCATTTTTGGAGTCTAAAAAAAATTATTTCAACAGTTAAATAGCTAGTATTTCTTTGATCTTTTTTTTATTAATAAAATGTTGTTTAATCTGTTCAATCTTCAACCGAGAAGTGTAAATATAATTTAATAAATCATATCACAAAATCAATGTCATATATACTAGTCAGATGCTTTCCAAATGCAGTGAATTCCTATTGCTATTGGAATGATAATTGCTCTTTCAAAGCACTGAATCTCTTTATGAATACATGTACATGTATTAACTTCAATCTTGATTTAAGCAGTTACCTTTTTTTGCTTTAAAAAGCTCTGTAATTGAAATCAAAATATGTCTTGCCTGTTGCAAGAAAATATTATGGTTGTAGAATTTCTACTCTAATGGATTTTTGATTCTTTAAGAAATCAATATATTTTTCAAACAGACAAGAATGGGGTAGACTAATGTTATTATGCTTATTGTTTCCTACTAAGCCCAAAAGTAAACAAAAAGATTGCATATACAGTATGCTTTTAGAATAATTGATTAATTACTCATGTCCTGGGATCTAAAAAGGATTGGTCCATTAGTACATGTATTAGAATTTTTGTCATAAACTTGACCAAAGGATGCAGATGAAACAGCCCTTGATTCATATTACCATTTAAGTCTTATCAAACAGAGATATCATACTTTAACTTTGTTTAAACCTGTTTATTTACTTTTGACTTTAATTATTTATCCCTTGTAATTTTTTATTAACTGTGTATTTGCATTCAGGTGTCACAGGTCAAATTTACTCGTTCAATGTGTGTTAATTTACGTTTTTGATTGAGTTAAGCCTTCCAATTGATATTTTATAGTGTGTTTTTCTATGTTGTGATGTTATACTATTGTTTCAGAAAAGGGAGAAGGTTTGGTACCATTAAAACGTTTAATCCCGCTGCAAATGTTTGCACCTGTCCTAAGTCAGGAATCTGATTACAGTAGTTGTCGTCTGTTTATGTAGTTCATACGTGTTTCTCGTTTCTCGTTTTTATATAGATTAGACAGTTGGTTTTTCCGTTTGAATGGTTTTACACTAGTAATTTTTTGGGGCCCTTTATAGCTTGCTGTTCGGTGTAAGCCAATGCTCCGTGTTGAAGGCCGTACCTTGGCCTATAATGGTTTACTTTTATAAATTGTAACTTGGATGGAGAGTTGTCTCATTAGCACTCATACCACATCTTCCTATATCTATGTCATACATGTAGATTTTATTGTCACTTCTTCACAGACATTAACAACACTGAAATGGCTTAGGACAGAATTTCATACTTACTTACAGCTGTTTTCTGCTCTTTGGTAGGGTTATTGTCTCTTTGACACATTCCCCATTTCCATTCTCAATTTTATTACTTAATTGATAGGTATGTCAACCACACACATGTACAATGTATATATTTTATGTTGGCCTAAAGGTAAAATTTCCCATTATATACTGAAAAAATTATAAATTTCTTGCGAGTTCAGATTCCAATACATCTCATTATTACAATGTATTACATCTGTATATGATA